CCTCCACTTTGAAAAAATTCAACATACATGAGTTCCTGGTCATTATGTTAATGTATGTGTAGCAGGAAAACATACCCCTGAAAACATTCCTTGGTAAGCACTGCTGCTTGTGTTAGTCACATTTTTGAAAGCCAACAACAGTGAAAGAGGATAAAGCAAGTGATCAAACAAGACTGAATGCAAATATGCAGATGTGAACTGCTTTGAAACAGCTTCTCCATACTGACCACCTTCTGGAATCATGCATGTCTAGCAATCACTAACTTTCTGACCATGTAACCTGCAGAAAGGCATTGATTAGCTTTTAAACAGTGTGATCAAGTTGCCAGGTGGCAGTTAATTGCATCATGATTATTCTGAACTTGCTCATACCTGAACTGGATAACACGCTTACTTGCAAAGGCGTAAAGCACTTGCATTGGAGAACCCTGGTGAAAATGAGAACTGTTTCTGCCCTTTTATCACATGCTTTTGCCTAATTCTAAAAAAAGACTTAGAAAACACATCATTTTTGTTTTGATGCCAATTATGTTATCCACAAGACGGAACACACACACTTCACACCAGCAGTGCCCTAGGTGCAGGTTTGAGACCTTCAGCTGTGCACAGCATGTCACAGTTCTCTGAAAAGCCAACACTGCTGTAAGTGAAGAGCTGCTGCTGAAAACAAACCTGCTTGTGAGAGAAGTTACAAGACACAATAAAATCTGTCACAGACATGCTCCAAACAGTACAACCCAAAAGCCAAGCATTCTATTACTCAGAACTTCAAACAAGCCAATGTGATTGCAGTTGTACCTAGAGTTTCAGTTGCTGAACACTAGAGCCTCCATCAGGGGAACCATTTTCATCTCGTCTTTTCAAGAAGAATGGTCAATTGAGAGTTGACAGCTGTGTATTTTAACAGGCAAGTAAACATCTAGACCCTGTTTTCTGCCACGCTACTGCATACAGTAAAGTGACAGTATGACCATAGGTAACATGAGATTATCAAAACACTGCATGTAATGAGCATGAACTGCCAGGTTTTCATGACAACTGCCAGACTGGGGTGGGGGAGAGCAGTGCGGTCCTTCGTATAAACGTTTAAGCAATGAGGAAAAGACAGCAATATAAAAACAGAATTTTTTATGGATTACCAAATGCTCTTCCAAATAAATGGGCCAGATAAGTGAATATCTGAATGATTTTACAGCTCTTGTACTGCATATTAAGCTGCATTTTTCTTACTCTACCAGCTTTGTATTTTCTTAGTAATATGTAGAAAATCCAACTACTACTGCTAATGTATTTCTGTATTGCTGGCACTCAGCTCACAAACCAGTATGGTTTCAGTACAAAATACAAAAAAGTGCTGTATCCAAAAGAAAAGAAAGGACCTGTTGCTACACTGACCAAGTCAAAAGCAAAAAAGAAAAAAAAAAAAAAAAAAGAAAAAAAAAGACCATTCAGAGCTACAAATTAACATCCGTCAGTTAAAAAAACCCTCAAGAAATATCATCCTTAACAGGATATACACTTTTTAGAATGACTTTTCTGTACGTGTATTGAATTGGCAATAGAGCCTTCCACCAGGTATAACTGAAGTTTCAGAAGCTCCCTCAGAAGTTGTTAAAATATCACATTAAAGAGACAAGGAACAGCAAGAAAACATCTAAGAAAAGCAGGCTGTGATACAACAAGCATTTGTTAAGAAAAAGCTCAGAAGTGCATTAGTTCTGGTGAGAGATATATGAGCAACAGCTCTTACGAGATGTAGACCCCATTCTGTAACTATGGGCTGTCCATATACTGTCATAGTCAGAGTCTTCTGAGAGGTCTGAAGGCTCCAAACGAGAAAGACTACTGCGACGACCCAAGGAGTCTAGACTTGATTGGTCATCATCAGCCAAGACGTGATTATGCATCAGGTCAGTGCCTTGCCATGCTAAGGATGTATAGGTGAAATGAAATGGTGGATGTGGATAGGCAGAGGTGGGATGAGGAGGAGAACGTAAGGAATAGCCACAACCAAACACATGAAATAAAAGCAAAAAGGTGATGGGAAGAGAAGGAAAAGAGAAAATATTGTTAAAAAGGCAAAGTTTGGTTTTTTTTTTTTTTTTTTTAAATAATTTGTTTGGGCTTTAGGTATAAATTACACTCAGCATAGAATAATGTTTGAACTGTTACAATACAGTAAGAGAATTTTGAATAACCAAAATCTCTATCAAAGTAGATTTTTTGGAAGAAGCAGTTAGGTTCTTTGGAAGTATCGAGCCAGTGCTGATCTGGGGGATTTGACTGGGTACAGAGCAACAAACACAGTAAGCCAGCATGATCCAGCGCTGATGTGAAAAGCAGCAGCCCCTTCCCCATCACACATCTGTTCCTCCATCCTTTCCCTCCCTTACAATGACACAGTCACTTGTACAGCTGCTTGGTGAGCCAGGTTGGGGAATAGTTTCAGATGAAATCTAACCCTACAAAAGATGCTTTTTCAAGCAGGTCATTTCCCCATCAGCCCACAGCACAGCCACAGAAGTGCTTGTGTCACCACTGTAAAGAGGAAAACGCAGGGGAAAAAGCAAAGGTTCTCATGCAGAGCAGGGCTGCAGACTTTCTAAATCAGCAGCAACATCTTGCACCCAATTAAGAGGAATGTCAAAGTACAGATTTTCTGTGCCTAAAGCCCTTGTTATTTGTTTAACCATGTAGTAAATTAACTCACAGAAAAACAGGGCCAAGAGACTAACAGCAACACAGCCTGGTCCATCTAACCCCTCACACGCCTCTTCTTAACACCTACCTGAATCTATCTTCCCAATTAAATATTTAAAGATGTCTATGGCAGTTGGTAAAAGATAGCTAAAGATGGTGTTTTTCTGGTTTTAAGGACTTGGCAATATTCCAGGACCATGTAAGTGACCGTGCTACATGCCACATACACACGATACTGCAAAAAGATTTTAAGCCTTCATTTGGAGCAGGAGTGCAAAATAGTCTTAGTATATAAGAAGCAGGTGAAAGTGAAACTCTGTTCTTTAATTTGCATCTGTCTCCCCAAATTAAATCCCCCATCTTCCCCGCTAAAACAACTGAAAAAAGTTGTTCTGCTCCCTACCAGTTTGCACTGGTGCTGTAACTCTGCTGAACTGACACTGGCAAAAGCAGCACCCATTGGGCTTTGGGTTAAGGTGCAGGTAGGAGAACTGTCAAATGAGTGCTGTAAGGGACTGGCAGAATATTAACATGGAGGTAAGGAAGGAGTTTGTATAAAAAAAGGGTGTACTTCATGGATAACAGGTAACTCTCTCATTTTATGCTTCTACACTGACTACTGCTCCCACAGAAGCAATTCCAGCATGATTGGATTTCTCCCCGCTCCCAATTCCAGCCTACAAATGTATCTTCTGAAATCTAAAGTCTTAGATAACAATGTTAGTCTTTCCAAAGAAAGCAGCTGTGTGCTTAATCAATAGAAAAAAAAAACACCTTGCTGCAATTAAGAGCAAATAAAAGCTGCTGACTTCTGATGTATGCAATGATACCCACAGCACTATGTATATTTCTTAAATATACATAGAACGAAAAATAGGCGAAAAGCAAAAAAAAAAATCACATCCATTTTATATCTGCACACACACACACTATCGTGCAAGTGCAAATGTTTTCCCAACCATTTGTTATCACATTATCCTTGGAAATAATCAACAGATCTCAGTCAAGACATTTAAATAGCAATCATCTCATTTAATTTTGTTTGGAACAACAGTATATCTTCAGAATTTTGAACACATTCATTCCCTTTTATCCAAATAAACGCATTATTGTAATGACTGTAGAGCTACAAAATAATTAGTATTAATAAAAAAAATTATGTACTCGTAGCTAATTTTATCACCTTGGAGACCTACAGTTCATTAAAACAGAAAAATTAAAATGTTTTTTCCTGTTACTTCAAAAATTTCTACAGCCTAAAACAAGAGCCATATTCCCATTGTTAATTACATATGAAGTGGCTGGATTTTTTCAAGGTGACAACAGTAGATGAACACATTAGGAAAATCCATGAACTAAGTTTGCAATTACATTTGGAGACTTCTCAATTGTTAGCATGAAGTGCTTCTGCTTGGAAGCAAAATGGGCACAGAGCACAGCGGGTAGCAGTAACAGTGGTTAATACTGCAAATTTAAACAGCTTTGGTGGACAAGGAGTAAGTTATAATGTCCACTCTTGCAGTTCCTAAGAGCAAAGCCAGCCAAGTACTTCAGGATCATTATACTGTGTTCCAAGGATCCCCAAATTAAACTGGTATTCAACAATGCAAAAACTGCAAATCGCAACAAACGCAACAGCATTTTCTCCTTCCTTGTGTAAAGGGAACACATGCTGGTGGACTCCCCTGCTCTGTGCAGTGTTTTACTTACAATACAGAGGAACTCCACATGGCAACCTTGATTTGGATTAAATGAAGTAGGACCCCAGAGGCACGTTACAGGTTTTCAATAAGCTAGGTATTGATCTGAGAAACTAAAAATGGCTTTAAGCAACACATAGATCTGGTAACAATTTTTCCTGAAATTATGAGATGGGATTAAAATTCGTAATTAATACTAAAAACAAGTAGTGGCAATAAAAGAAAGTAATTTTTTATAGGTCTAGGTTATTTTTCCATAGCAGAAGTTTTTGTTGAACAAAACAAGACAAAAATACAGTCCTCCAAGATAATTACTACTTCTTCATTCCTTCTCTCTACTTACCAGCTTCTTAAATTTGTCAAAAAGCATACTGATTAACTGTCATACTCAGTTCAGACACCTCTCATTAACCGGTGAAGGTTTTGTGCAATTGTAAACCATGGCAAGAAGTCACTTTTGGTTTGTTTGCTTTTGTTGTTTTGTTTTTTAAATACAGAAAGAATTAGAGTCTCTAGCCATGGTCCTTGGCATCCAGTATTAAACACTCAGCACCAATATTAAGCCAGAAACAGAGTCCATTTCAGTATTTTCTAACTTACTTGAATTTAGTGTTTGACGAGTTTTGGCACTTGTGCAATATGCTTCAATGACTTTAAGAATTTGAGCATCTTCTTCTAAAGCAGCTGTACCTAGAATGAATAGGAAAAATAGGATTTTAAACATGGTTATGTTTCTTAATACAAAAAAGCCTTTGCAAATCACTACATTTCAGTTGAGTTCAAAGTTCAAACCCTTTAAAATTCTCTTAATCATCCCATTTTAGAAATCAAACCTCAATGAGCAAAAGTAACAGTTTAAAAAGGTGAAATATTATTCTGAAATGTGTGGGGAGAAAAAAAAACAAACCTAAGTCAGAGTAATTACCCCCATATTCACAAAACTTATGAGCATCTGAAGTTGCACAGAACATGTTTTGAAGCGTGATCATTCTGGTTGGAAAGCAAATAGCCATTAAAATGAAGATGACTGTATACTCCAGTTATTATATACATATTATTTCATTATTTATTAAAGAAACCAGGGGGCAGAATATTAATTCACAGAAATCTTGAAAACTTTTGGGGTTTGTATATGTATTAGATTTACCCTTTCCACAGCACACTATTGAAAATTAACCTCAGAATTAGCAGCATGATACATCAGTATAATTTCAGTCCAGTTTGCTGTAGGAAAAATATCACTATATAAGTATATCTGTGAAAAGTGCAGTAATGAAATTTCACAGACTTTAAAGCAGAAACAGCGGTACTGAAAAAAATATAACTATTCTAGCTTAACATGGCAACATTTAAAGGTAGAGCTCCACAGCACATCATCTCCTTGGGGAATTCAGTAAAAATACTGTCAAATTCTTCACTGGCAACACAGTGAAATTCTAACCAAACTGAAATCTAGAGGTACCACTACCTTTAGTTTAGATGGAACCATGAGTCTAGGTGTAAGACAAGACGACTTGTTGTTTTAAAAGCACTTTTCCCTGTTTTCCTCCATCAAAAAACTAGGCTTGAAGATTGTCTGCTGTGACAATTTGAACTGCCTTCAACATAAAAATGCAGTAGTATTTTTTGTTAGCCAATGCATTCTGTTTGGTTTTGTGACTTATTATCACCAGAACAAAGCCAACTGTTAAAACATTTGTCAGGATCAACTGACAAGCTGTTGAAGAAATTATTTGGACCTAATATAGTTTTTCTACAGTTATGGGATGCAAGTACTCCAAAATGCAGGTTATTTCTCTTTCAAGGCAGGAAAAAGAATTGGATTTTATTGTGGTTAGAATGCAGCACCATATTACTACAGTAGCCGGAGGAATATTTCACTTCTGAAATGAGTATTGTAAGGACACTCAGTTGAAATACCTTACTTGTCTGTTATAATGCTAGTTTGACATAGCAGTTCTCAGAACAGCCCGTAACTCCCTGGGATTCCAGAGAAGTTAAGTGACAAAACCCAAAACTACCTATCAATAAGCTTTAAGTTCAATAGAAGTTCCTCAATGGAAAATTTCTACAGTCCCACAAGGTGGAAAAGGTTGAAAGAACCCTAACATATAACAGAAGCATCTATTTACTGACACAACAGGGGAAAAATATGAATACCAAGAATCAGTAAGTATTTCTTTAAGTACCACTCTCTGACTTAAAGCCACCTAAAATCTCTTCTAGTCAAAGTTTTCTCCTATATACAAAATGCTGGTGTTAATTTAATCAGAAGTAAAACAATATATTTGCAAGCTACAGGCGCCCTCATTCCCCCCAAAATAGAGTTCTTATCTACTCTCACAAAGTGTTCTTTAATAATTCCTAAATCTGAAGGTTGACATCTTTACCGCTGTCCTTACAACTCCTGAATCTCCATCCTCCAACATCTGAAATGATGCTGAATGGCAGTACACAGATACCTTCCTGTAAGGATAAAACATCCCAAACTAAAAAGTCCACTTACACATCCATGAACACAAGATCGTTCTATTCACCTTAACCTTTGCCATATGAAATTCACAGCACTCAGAAGGACCTCCACCTTAGACAAACCAGCAGTGCCCTGAGGAAAAGCTTTTTCTCTCCAACCCTACATAAACCAGTAAGAGACAATGGTCATGGTAACAGACTTCATGCACTGAACACTCAAGGCACAGTCCCTATCTTTAAAAGCCCATGAGCAAAGGACAAACACAGAAAAACAAAAGTTGCAGTAAATGAATTAGGCTTTCATCTTAAAATACCCTGTCTTTTACTGATAAAAGTAATTTGATTATTCATTCACACAAATTTCTACAGAGGAATTAAAGTGACACTGACAACCACAAGAATACTGCATTTGCTTGAGAACATTCATGTTCCCTCCACCCCAAAACATCCCAACATCCGGATTTTGACCCTTCTGTTTTTCTATACATTCATCAGTCTCTTTCAGTTCAGCGTTGTTCTTCAGACTTCAAGAAAGACTAAAGCTCTGCAATTTCAGACACGGACACTGGCAAATGACCTTATTTCTAGATTAGAGCAGACTGTTGCATCTCAGAAACGGTGGCCATGGAAGCAACTAGTCTTTGAACTGACAGCAACACCCAGCTTTCCAACACCCAGCTCAGCAGAAGCTCCTATCAGGATCGATTTAAGAACATAGCTACTAAGTATTCTGTAAGAGCAGGACAGTACCTTCAAATTGCTGTTTACACTATTAAAAGACGGGTTTGCCTTACTGAACTTAACATGGCTCTATAGCCAACTTCATCTTCCTCTGTAGCAAACAGAAATCAGCACTTCACAAGTATGTATCCACTGTAGTCAATGGTAAAGCTCCAGAAAACCACTAATGCCATCGTGACATAAGCACCTAAAATGAATAAAACAAACCACCCACTAAATGCCTACCTGCTCTTCCTTCTCGGTAAAGAGGGAACCAGATAGCTTGCTTACACTGTACATCTAACTTTCACAAACTGATGCTAATTCCAGCCTTTGCATTATTTAGACATTTGTTCAAGTGTCTCTTACTTTTTCTCAGTGCGAACTCTTCATCTGACGGCTTCCGTTCTGGCTTGCGTTTGGGAAGCAGCTTTTTCATGGTTTTAGGGCTTTTACTGAGATCCTGTGCAGGGAAAATAAAAATGAGTAGAGCTTCTCTACCATATTTCAAAAATGCAACTGCTAAGATACATACAGGAGTTACTAACTAAATACCTTTTAACAGAACGAAAACTCAGTCTACTAATATTTTTTAGCACATCTGATTTGCCTGAACTGGCTGATTTCCTCTCTACCCTTCCTCCAACCATACACAAAGTCAGGTATTTTATCTGTTCTATTAACAGAAATATACAGGAAAAGCTGCTGCAAAAGCATGCAGGCTGTTCGGGAGCTAGAGCGAAGGGAAGAGGAAGGCATACACGAGTTTTTTTACTTAACTTTTGAAGATATAACCCATTTCAATTGTCTACTTAGCAGCAGGTAAAAAAAAGGACCTAACAAGGAAGCTTGGCAGGTAGTATACTCTTCAAAGCCAGAATTTGTAAATGTTGAGGTCTGTTCTTACAAAGCTCTACTGCAAATCCCCCCCTCCCCCCCCCAAAAAAAACCCAAACAGCAACAAATACAGCTTTTCTGCTCAAAACATGGTCATGCTATTTTACAGGGACAATGCTAAGTTACAGGAACAAAAGGGACATACTGGTCTACCCCTTACCTTAAGGGTACAAGATATCCTCTACAAAAATACAGAACAAGAAAGTAAAAAGGTGAATGAGAAAGACAGACCAAAGAAGATGAAGATAGGATTTGAACATCATTGTATGCTGAACACTATAAAGGTGACTGAAACTTTACCACATTGCATAGTTTATTGCCCTGTGTAGGGCATGAAAGGAATACAAAATGAACATACAGTAAAACAAAACAAAAACCTTTTGTAGCAGCTAAGCCTAAACACTAACCTTCCAAGCACAGATCATGTATCACTTTTTCCCTCTTGCTCAGGGGATTTACAAAAGAAACGAAAGGAAAAATGTTGCACACACAGAGACACTCCAGAGAACCACAGCCAGGCCACACTGAGGCACAGTGGTTAGGTTACAGTTTCTAAGAAACTGCAATTTACGTGTCTGCAAAATAAATGTTTTTTGTCAACATCTCATGCTTACAGAGGAAAATGTTCTTGGGTATAAACTGCATTATTCTTTCTAGGCCCTGTTGATTCACACTAAGTAAGTATCACGAGAATGCATGACAAAGATGCTGAAACAGGAGATACCACCAAGCCACAGAGCATATGATATTCTGCTAATTACATAAACACAGACATCAAACATAAAGCTACCATTTGCTTACTATTTACAAAACCATACAAAATATAGTGGCAAGAACAAATTAACCTCCCACCACCATCTTTTTATGGTTAAACCCACCACATTTTATTCCTCTTGGAATAGACTCCCATTTCATACCATATGCTGATTAAAAAATACAACAGCTTCTTAAAATCTAAGCTATTTTTTCTGCCAATAGTAACATTAGCCATCAAATTCTGCTGAGTACAAAAACATTTGACAGTTACCATTTTTTTTCCTCTTCTTAAATATGCTATAGTTACCTACTAAAAGTGACAACTAAGAGTCAATTATACCACCACAGCTGTTTAGAATGATTTGATGCAGCTGTTTGAAGTACCAAGGATCCCTTATGCTAGATACTTTGCAGTGTGCTTAGCAAACAACTTACCTTGCGGTAAGTCTGGATTATCAACATAACAAATAAAGTACTAGGTTAAAAAATAAAATTTAAAAAAAAAAAAAAAAAAAATCTTCATTTATTAACTGACTAGAGAGTGGAAGTAAGCGGGAGGACTTGGGGGAGGTGAGGAAGCCTCTCCTAGCAAGCCTTAGTATCTTCTGAGCTGCAAGACTAAATCAGTCCATTTACCATTGTTCCAGCACTGTCTGCTAAATCATCTGTATATAAAAACACGCACAAAATTGTGAAATAGTGGTGTACAAACAAAAGTTAAGCTTCCCAGTGCAGGTCTGCTACACGGGTATATTTCTTGGCTGCCGTGCCTCACCTCTTTGTAACAAAGAGCTGCTGAAGGCCGTAATGGAGGTGCGGGCCGTAAGCAGCTCAGGCTCCAAGGCTTGGGGGTTTTCGGAGGTTCCAGCGGCCCCCAGTTTATCGTGGTATGTGGAGTCCCATGGTGTGACGGATGAGGGAGGGTGTGGTACGCAGGCGTCAGCGGTATCGGCTTGCTGTCTGAGTGCTTGCTGGAGGGTGTTACTGGATGGGAAGGAAGCTGTCAACGACACAAAGGTGATGGGATGGGAAAGAAAGTGTGTTATCATAATAAAGACATAATATAATTAAAGATTGGTGAAATAATCTCGCTTGCTATCTAGTGCTTCTATTTATTACACCTGGCCTTTGAAAACTGTTATACAATTATTATCTTGAAAAATGGATCTTAAAGAAGTTTTACTATTTACCACAGAGCATGCACTAAATAAAGAACAGCTACGAGCAGCCCAGCTCCCACTTCTCTCACCACGAAGGACAGAGCTAAATTTAGATCCATTCATATCCAACAACCCAAATTAAGAACCTAGAAGAAAGTACTTAAGGAAATTGTTTCTCCACAGTATGTAAAGTGTACCACTGATTAAAACCTACTGTTCTAAAGATACTTAAAAGATGGTGATGGTCAAAAATACTTGGTCAAAATAGAAAATGTAATAATAATGAGTTTTCTTTTACCCTGTTAAACTATTACACCACTATCTAAGCATTTTATTCTTTATTCACACAATTAAAAATAGAATGATCTTTTGACCCATTAAACTACAGTCATAACATTCAGTTCTTGTTACTAATGGCTAAAAAAATGCTTTACATGGTGGTATATTGGCAAGATGACCTAATTCAGCATACACTGCTCATTCACTTCAATCTAGCAGCTCTTTCTTACCGTGTGAGATGGCACAGAGTGAGGTTTAATGGTGGGATTCCCAACAGTTGTGACTTTGGTTTGCTTCTGCAGGTGATCCACCCATTCATGCAAATCTTGTTGGTTGTTACAAGACACTAGTATCCTTTCAATCATATTTCCTAGGTGACAGAAAACAGATGATGTAGGAAACCACAGAAGAACAATTTAGCCTATCAGATATGATTATAAATATGCTCATTTCCTAAAACATTCTATCCCCATAGTACTAAGCAAAAACTTTAACTCATATTTTCCAGTACAATAGCATTGCTCTTTCACAGGTTATGACAAGAGTTTCCTCCATGTATTTGTTCTTGTGCCAAGTATAAGAGTTACATGTTTTTCCCCCCCTCTAATAATTAAACACAACCTCTAAAGACAAGAAATAGATGTAGGAGACAGGCTCATCTAGCAGCCTTATGCTTCTCCATCTTCCCCCCAGGAAAACCAGCATATAGCCTAAAACATTCTTGAGTCTGTAAGCTTCAACATATGAGAAGTTATAAAATACAGTACACCCATCTTCTCTCAGAAAAGGGCACAAAGTTGGTCTGAATCTAAAGATCAGGGGCAAAAGTCACTTGGGAAAGCAATCTTAATCATCAATTAATTTCTGCAGTTAATTCCATGTTAACCCATCACATTCCTCATCTGAGCTCAGCTTCAGAGCTGTTGTCTCAAGAACATGCACCATCAACAGCTTTCTCCCCTCTGCCTCATAGCACTGATATACTGCCTGCCACTTGAGAGGGTCAAAATTACTTTGCTTAAATGCAACCTGCTTGGAGAGAGAACTGATCCAGGAAATGAAGGTATGAAGCTCCACTGTGTGGACCCTGCTCCTACTCCTTTAATCACCCCAGGATATTAGGCACACGCTGAAACAAATGACTTAACAGACAGAAATTACCCAAAGTATGCACAACAGCAACCATCATTAGCATTAGAGATGCTAAAGGTCTCGGGAAAGAGGTGGAGCATTTCTAGAAGAAAGCTCTGCTTAAAGCTTTTCCAGGGTCTCTGGAATTCCCTTTCTTCCAGTGAGCAGCATACTTTGAACTGCTTCATTGTAAAGGATCTTCTCCAAGGCTACTACCTCCATTCATTAAAACGCAGAAATGTGGGTATGAATCCTATGCAAGGCAGTTTGTGAACTGCCTAAGACAAGCAGCAAGAAGCAGCTTTCAAGTCAGGCTCTGGGTAACTGCATTACTAAATTTGTATAATCACAGGACGGCTGAGACCAGAAGGGGCCTCTGCAGCTCATTCATCCCCTGCTCAAGCACAGACACCTAGAGCTAGTGGCCCATGACTGCAGCCAGAGAGCTTATGAGTATTGTCAAGGATGGACATCTCTCCAGGCAACTTGTGCCAGTGCTTGGTCACCCTCACAATGAAAAGGTTTTCCCCTCTGTTCAGACAGAACATTTGATGTTTGAAATAGCATATCCTGGAGTAAGTAATAAAAATATTTAGTCAATACCTGATATTTCAAACGCATTTTTATGGTTTTCAGTGTCTTCTAGCTTTGTGATAGCCATTCCTGTTGTTGGCAGTTTTCCCTGAAAAAAAAAAGAAGGCAGTAACACTGAAGTTAAATCCAACACGCAGAAACATTATCAAGAATATCTTAACTTTATATCCATAACTATTAACTTCAAGTACTGAACAAAAACATACACAGTAAATTGGCAGACACACACTGATGGGTTAAAAACATTTAAAAATCAATACAAACACTGTGTAATGGAAGTTTTTAACATGCTCAACTTCTGCAAATGACACCTGTGACAGCATATCAGTCTATCTGATACCTACACAGGCTATGAAATCTATACAAATGCAATAGTGGTCATTCATCACAGCCTCAGGTTCATGAAACTGAAACCTTCAAGGTCATCCATATTAAATGATGAGAGGCAATGCTCACTCATCTTTAAGCACATTTGCATGCAAACCGGTTAGCTCTCAAAATAAGGTTTGAAGTACAAGTAGATTTAGAAAAGAAGACGTCATTAAACAAATGCATCAATTATTTACTGCAGATTTATGTTTCCAACAACCCCACCATAAAATTTGCTCACAGAAGTACTTAGAGGAAAAAACCCTAAAGCAGTAAAAACATCTTTAAACTCGTAAAGTTTCAGAAGAACATTTTATTTTGCAGAAGGTAACTTCTCATTTTAAACCCACTCAAGCTGGGGGGAAAAAAGAGTCCATTTAAGCTAATTTTTTGACCCTTTAGAAGAATAAATATGACTCAGGATGAAAAAGCTTTACCAAAAACGCAACTTTTATTAAAGTTTTTTAAGATAGATCCTGTATTCTCCTGCACAAAACCACTATTCAGCACATGCTGGCAAACGCGCAAATACTATGCACTGTGGAATTTTGGCTCCAATGGAGGGAAAAGAAGAAAACAACTTTTTTTCTTTTCTTTCTTTCCTAATGACTGCAGAATGGACAAAGGTTTCTTAGACACTTGAAACTAAAAATCACTTGATATTCTGTATGCACAGGGCATGTTCAAGACCAAGATGCCAAAGAAAAAAGGAAGAGTTTTCTTGCAACAGCTTCCCCACTGAAGGAAACATGGTGGCACTGTGCACTATAATGCAGCCTAAAATTCATTCTGCTTTTCCATGTTTGCTGGTTCATGAATAATACAGCATACAACCACAATTAAAGAGAGGTGCAAGAAGTGCTGATGTAGGTGGAAATGGAATATGGGGATACACTAAGCAAAAGACTGGTGACAAAGAACTAAGATCACCTCAACCATATGGAGAGAAGTACAAACCCAGCAAAACACAGAGAAAAGGGAACTGAACTTGTGAATCATTTGTATTTTCCATCTTCCAACAGTTGTGAAGCCCCTTGTGACTTCAGTTTACCATTACTCAAAGTTCTCCCCATTAGCTAATGTGGCAGGTATCAGCACTACCAGCCAGAAAACATGAAGCCTGCTGGTGACTGAATATTCAGAAATACAGGGACGGGGTCATGTAGGATGCTGCCTCCAGTGGCATCATTTCCCTGGGAATGACTGAGGGGCTGCATCATCTTCTGTCCATATCCATCACAGTTGTGAGACAAGAATCTCAGAAGGGAAGTCCAGGTGGCCCACATACAATCCAGACAGATCTGAGCCACTGTCTCGGACACAAACAGTGATGTAATAGTTTTAGTTTGCTGTGAATTATGTAGTCATGAAAATTTTAGAATTTCTCAGTGTTGGGAAGAGGTTATGAGGAAATTAAAGAGTTTTGCATTCAGCAGAGGGCTGGATGGCAAACACTAAGAAAGGGCTGTGGCAATACTGAGTAGAAGACAAATGCGCAGAAAATTGCTTATTTACTTAACAGTGCTGTGCTCCTGGGGGACAAGGTAGGAGGGAAGGGGAAGAAATAAGTGATGTAGAATAGGAGGGCAAAATAAAGCCTGACAGATGGCTTCATTTCATATTGTTTGTTACCGCACTAAATCTCTGGTCATTTGCCTTCAAATGGTACGCAAGAATCTACCTTCATCACAAATTCTGGATGTGCCACTTGGAATATGGAGCTTACCTGCCTTTTCTAGCATCTTTTTCCATCCATGTTGGATAAAGCACCGGCCAAAAGCTCTGAAGTATGGCACAAAGCTAACAAATTTGATTGTCCACTTAAACCACCTAATGCAACACCGTCTCAGATAAATCTGAACTAATAGTAGGCAGATAAGATACGAATCCAAAGATGAATTTTGGAACGTAATTGCTTTCAATTAAAAAAAAAAAACAAAACAAAAAACCAAAACCAAAAACAAAACCCAAAACACACAAAATCAGTTTGTGACTGGCTGTGGTTGATCATGTAGGAATCCCAAACCACTAAACCTCAGCATTCCTTCAAGCAGGCATGTCACTACTCAGGAGAAAGAAACTGCTTGAAAGGCTGATTTACAGAAGTAGTCAGAGCAGGTGAAATCTCTGGCTCTTTTTAGAACTGTGTTGCAGTTTTTCCCTTGCTAGCGCAGAATTTTATAAAACAGATGACCAGTTCGTATTGCAGAAATTACCTTTTATCTTTATAAATGCATAAGCTAAATAATCATTCCAAGTTTCCTGTGAAATATCATTTAGAAAAAACTAAACACCCTTCCCCTCCCCCAACATATTTATACACTTATGTACATATATTAATTTACCTGATAGATAAACCCACTCATTCTCGGGCTGGCAGACAACATTAGCAAAATGTTAGGGAAGAGAAGAAGATACCTTTCATTCTTTTCCTTATCAAAAAAAGAAAATGAAAAGGTAAATACAACATCACAAGCCCCCTCCCCAGTTTTTTTGTTTTATATTCTAGAAACTAATACTAATGTTACTACTTCATAATTACTCAACAAATATTAACTCCTGGCAAAATTAACTGTCTGTAGAACTTAAAAAAAAATAAATCAAAGATAGAATTATTTGATTTTCTATGTGAAAATTGATAGTAACACATGTCTATGTTTCCTCCTGGAGAGTAAAGCCTAATAATTTAAAATAAAAATTTTATAGTCTGGGTGAAATATTGACCTTATTTAATATGATAAAAACTGTTTTGCCAATTTCAGCAAAACCAAAATTACACATTAGATAGATTTTGTAATATGAATTTAGATGGATGCTGTTACAGTGATGTCAAGACCATGGTGTTCCAAATTGGAGAGATCAGATTTTTTAATTATGTTGGATTATGATCCAGAGTACAAAAAGAGTACAAAAGAAAAGTAATACTGCTTATATTCACAACAAAAAGCCCTCATTACTTGGTTATGGTTTTAATTTGCTGCTTTCACTTATGAAGTTGTCCTTTGTGCTTTTGTTTGTGGATATTTTTATGGGAGGAGAAGGTTCTCTCTTACATCTACCACTACAGACAAACAACGAAAGAGAGAAGCATTAAGTTATAATGTTTTAATGACAAAACAAATATATCCATTGACAAAATCACTGTCTCAAGACCTTAAGTCCTTACCAAGTTTCAATGTTTCTGTTTTTCAGTAAACATTTAAAAATGTCTATATAATTTTAAATAAATAAAATTAAAAAAAAAAACAAACAAAAAAAGAAAACCAAAGCCACGTGCTTTTGCACAAATGAAGCCATTCTATACTTAGTCAAAAACCTGTAATGCTATGTAAAAACTTCTACAAGTCCTTTAAATTTGACATTTAAACTTGTGATGAGAGTGGGAGGTAGGGTGCTATTTTATTGTGTTTTAAGAATTGACTGCAGAAGATGCACTATCAGCTTTACTGAATCTTCTTTATTTTAACACCTAATAAAATATCTGGAAGATATCAGTTGCCAATTTTTTAATTATTCAGTTGCATAAACATTTTTCCTCTTTCTTCATATTTATAGACATTTTTGTTCTAAGGGAGGAAACTGACTGAATGAGGTTGCAACTCCAAAGCCCCCAGTAGGTTCAAAGCTTCACTGATTTTACAGGGAATAACTCGCAGCAAAACCATGTCTGTAATCTGTAGAATATTTCATTTCTGTTGGCACTTGCTTTTAAGATTATTTTAACATTATTTCTGGTAGGACAGCATTTTCTTTGTGTGCCTGGATGTTTTTAAAAAAATCACCCCAGACTTCATAGTGTCACTTTAAACTTTCTAAGGTCTCTTCTTACTCTATTTCTCCCAAACTACCTGCTTCTCAAGCTTGTATTTCAAAATCTACTACTTGAGCCAAGTGCCCAAAACAGCTAGTGTGCCTTAAGACACCTTATAATACAAACCCCGTAATTACTGCTACACAAAATGATCCTGTAACATAACTACATGTGAAAAATCTTGTTTAATTATGCACTTTGAAAACGGTCCTGCAAAATCATCTTTTCTGTATGAGAAATGTCTGTAACTGTCTGTAACTGCTATATTCGGTTCCGTTTCAGTAAATTTTACAGATGAGACCATCCATCTTCAAGGAAATTTATTCCAGGCTTTGTAATAAAAGCTTTAAATTAGTAGAGAAAGATTTTAGTCTAGATTAGTACTCTGAAGCATTCTGCTTATTTCTGCTGCAAAATGATTATAATTAATTTTCTTCAAAATGAAAAGACTGAGAAGATGAGAAGGAAAGATGAGAAGGAAATTACCTCACTTCCAGCACACTGAATCATGACCTGGGACATGTAAATCACATTGCCAAGAGTTTTAATATCCTCTCCCTCCCAACAACGGATAGCTTCCGTCAGTATTTGTAGTTCTAGTTCTTTCCGTTTCCGTACTTCTTGACATTGTGCCTAACAAACACAGGGAAAAACACCATCTCTATCAACTCTATCAATTTGGAGCAGGTTAAGAGGACAAATATCTCTACAGTTGTATTTACTGCTGTTTGTAGTACGGAAGACAGCACCCAACTTGCAGAATTTCATTTAGATGACTACTAGCAGTATTTCTTAAAAAAAAAAATAGTTGTTTTGCTAACTTGAACATTATTCTCTTTTCAATACACTTACTTCAGTTACCATTCCAAATTCATAGCCATAGCTCTGTTTCTCAAATTTCTCCTTCCTTTACATTTTAAATTTTTTTTACTTCTAACCACAAATTGCTAGGCTCAGCAGAAAAAAGTAACACAGCTCTCACAAACAGATGTGACCATACAACAAAGCACCTATCTTTAGTAAAAAGAGCTATGCCAATGGTGCAAACTGGATATAACCTTGTGTTCCTGTTCTTATTAAATGTCTTGATCTGCTCTACCAGCTGAACTCCCATTCATTTGAATTTTTCTCAGTAAGAATTGTTTTCTCTTGTTTGTAAAGCACCCAACACAATGGGATCCCCAAACCAAGAACTAGAAAATGTCAGGTTACCACCAGCACACAGCCCTAACAGGAAGCACAAAACATTGAGTTTGGTTTAACTGAAACTGCATTAAGTATATGCTTGCTGCAGCTCAATTACTGTAAAGAAGTTCTTACTCAGGACACTAGTTATGCTTGCAATAGTAGAAAGGTAAACAAAGCACAAGTCTTAGGGGAGACCAAGAGGCAGAAAATGCTTTGAGTGGCTCTTACATCAATAGTGTATTTGCTGTAACTCCCCAGCAAATTACTATCCTTAGCTCAGCCCACAAACAGTATCAATTTCCAGGCTTTCATGAATTTCTTACATGTTTACAAAAAACTTCACTTTTTAAAAGCAACAGAGGGGGATGAAATTCGAAAATATTCTACTTAAAATATATTATCATCTATTGTTTATCACTCTTACAGAAAGGTTTTTGAAGGCAGTCATGGATTTCTGAATATCTGGACGATCCGGATGATAATCCTAAAAACAATGGAGAAAGGATTTAGCTCTAGTAAACTAAAAAAAGGTTTTAGATGCTTAACTAAAACCAATAAACAATTCTTTAAAAAGTAGTAAACTGATCTGCTCTCTTTTCACAGCCTTCTTATTCTTACATCAAGCTCTGGTGGTCTTGCTTGTAGTAAAAATGAAGACACACTTGTATCATCCCTATTTAGGCTTAAAATAGACCCAAGGCAGTTTTACAAGTGGATAAAGAGATTTTGAAATCCTAATAGGAAAGTGTTTATTTTAAAGAGTTTTTTTGGCATGTTAGCTTTGTCACAAACTAAATTCCTTACAGACTAGTATGTTCTGACTGACAAACCAAATTGTATGACAAAGTAAAGACCCATATGCTTTCTATTTCTCTCTGTCTCCTTCACACTCCGAAAATCTAACCTATATAATGCAAGGGCAGAAACAGTAGCTCCTCAAACGCTTTCCCATACTGGAAAGATAAATCTTGGACAGTGTTCAGTAGAAACCAAAGGGACTATTTTGGTATTTGACACACTGAGGTCCTAAAATTAAAAGCAGCACACCTTCTAAAAGAAAAAGTAGCCTCAAGTATTATGCAGCAGATGCATTCAATCTCAAGACAACCTAAGACCCTGCAAGACTCTTCCAGTAGTAAAGATTAGCTTCTCTGGCTAATTTAACTGTAAATGTTTCGCTTTTACAGGAAGTTTTACTTGCACCAAGTTTTAAACCATTGCAGCCCATATTTCAGAAGGCTGATGGAAGAGCAAACAAATGTAATTTTGGGTCCCATCATGTTTGACATGTACCTTTAAAATAATTGTTGTGAAATCATCATTAAGCTGGAACATAAATGCTGATAAGATATACCTCCATGTGCCTTTCAAGTTCTTTGAGTAACGTGGGGTATTTATCCAGACGCATAAAAGGTTTGCTGAGGCCCGTGGTCAGTACAAGGATCCCAGGGCTGTTGGCACCTTTCACCTCCATGAATTCTCCTAGCTCCTCACTGTGTACACAAGACATTTAAGCAAATTAAGATTAAGTTACCAAAACAATTAAAATTACATCGCATTCTTCACTTCAGTCTTTCATCCACAATGAATTCTGCCAATAATACAAGAGGCCAAATAAATCAAAAAGCAATTCAAGCACAACTTCAGTGCTGCAATCAGTTTCTGCATTAAATACAGGAACAAAGAAATTTGCAGATTTGGGGTCCATCCAGGGAACAACAGAGACTGGATCAAACCCACAGTTCTAGGCAACTGATGCTGAAAGACAGCTCTTAAATGCTACCTCCCATCCAAGCAACGATTATAGAATAAAGCCATTCACCCTATTACTCTAGTAAGATGACATGTGACCTTAAAGGTGGTTTACACAAGTAATACACAAGCATAAATGAGTGAACGGCTTCATATTTAATCAAGCATCGATATTTAAAGGTGTGAGGCACTAACGGAAAAAACAGAATGTTTCAGAACCTTTTTTCCTCCTACACTTACATGTTCAATGACCTCACCTCACACATCCAAAGTGTTATTGCAAAATGACCAAATAACCAGCCTTACAAGTGGTAGCCTCATAAAAGAAATAAGCAATCTATTCTCAAACAAGTTAGGGTTTCACTGAGGGCCTACTTGTGCAACATACTTGTTTTGACAGCAAAGCTGCTGTAAGCAATCCATGCTTTCCAAGCATCATAAATTGCTACTTCCCCACACAGACACTTTTTCATATTTGAATCATTTCAAAGAACTGCCCCAGCCCCTCAACTCTTTACATTAGCCCAGTTACAAAAACAGCACATCCAGGGAATTCCAGCTCACTTTGCTATCAAGGAAACTTAAAATAGGTACATCTTCTGCTTCCTTGTAAAGCAGGGATTTCAGAGGACTGTGGTAGAGGACATGCTCCATGGGGAACGGAAGGGAGAACAGCACCTGAGCTGATTTCCAGGCTTCAGAAAATACAAGTTGAAGACAGACAAAAATCCAAATAAAGGAAATTCAGAAAGCTGCTTATTAAAAAGATAACATTTTCTTGCATTCAAGCTGTGTTGTTCTAGATGTCTGCACATGTGGTTGCTAATGTTTTGAGCCCTTGTTATGGCAAATTAACTAGTTCTCAAAAAAAAAAAAAGAATACACAACAAAAGATACTATTCTCATGTGACAGTTGTGCAAATTCTACTCTAAAATATCCTCAAAGTCATTACATCCTACTGATTATTAGTACTACTCCCCAATAAGGCAGAATTACTACTTAAAACATTTTCCCCTCCCTGGTTATTGGCATAGTTTGATTTGTCAAAGGAAGCCTTAGCCAGCTACTAGATTCAGAACTTTTAGAAAGCATAAAACACATTGTCAAACATCAAACTGCAATAAGGAAGCAACACTTGTACATTGTGGCCACATTAACAAAAAGGGAAAGGCAAGAACCTCCAAATCTAGGGCAGTGTTTCCTTGCAGAAGTGAAAGTAAATCTTGACCTGCTCAATTTCAATAGGAAAAAAGCACTAATAGGACAGTGCCATAATCCACATGCTCAATTATCAGTGAGTCATGGATTAAGACAAAACAGACCTCCCTACCTCCCCCAAGACACACACACTCCTTCACATTTCACAGCCAGTGATACTTTGCTTATCAATATAATTTGTCTAAACAGATGGAGTAAAACAAAAGCATGAATCATGACCTTCCCAACTCAATGTAAGTGCTCCACCCACCATCCCACACAGATCTCTCCTCTCCTAGCTGCTAAAGCTTCCCTAAATGTACAGAAGAGAAGGTATTTTTCCACAGAGTTTACTCCAATAATTGTCTGCAGGTTAGTTAATTGGCATTTACTTACACTAAATTCCTTAAATACATCCAAACACCGTTTCTGAATTGTGTCAGGTACAACACAACCTTATGCCATGTCTTCTAGAGCACTCCATCCCCATTCTACCTAGGCCTGGGCACTCCTCTGCACACATACTTGGGCAATTTCTGCTGCGCTGAACTGCAGAGCCCAGAAAGTGGGTGAGGGAATTGCCCAACACCCACTTTGCATTTTAAAGGTGCAAAAGAGAAGGGGTGTGCACACTTGAGAATGTCCACAGCTCAACCAGGCAGACCCTGCTATATCCCTCTCAAGCAACATATGTATCAGTAACTCCAGGCCTCCTAAAATCAGCTTCTGACATGATGAGGTTTTAGCCAATACTCAAACCCATTGAAAAGCCTCTTACAGTACCTTGCACGGAAAATTATAATAATGCAACACAGATAAACTCAAGTACTTTTCTAGCTTAAATTTAAGTCAAGCTGGCCAACTCTGAATAACAAGAGCCCGAAGACCTACTTTGCTTTACACTTTCTTAGTCACAGCACTTACACAGCATAAAAATCATACCAGCTTCAGAACTTGACAACTGATCCTGGTGGCACCCTAAACAAGACTAAGAATTTTGACTCATGTTTTGGGTTTACAGTGTTACCAGCTACTTATTCATTGAGGATTTAGGCTGATTCACCGAAACACAAAGCTGCACATCTGTGGTGTGGTGGCATGTCCTCTCCTCCTCCTGACTCAGCTAAAAGGGAAAAAGCTGTTTCCAGCGAGGTGATGAGGCAGACAAATGAAGGCATGGTGCCCAGGAAGCTTTACCAGCGTTCACCTGTGAAAGCCCTTCTGTCAGAAGGCACTCAGCTGTTTTAAATTTCAATTCACTGTGTATGTGACACAGATCACATGCACACCACTGCTCTTTTTATTTTATCCATTAACTCTTCATGTAAGCATTCTCATCCATGTCAGGATCATAAAGCTAAATTACATATGGCATTTGACAAGCATCTTCATCTATTTTATTTTAAGTGAAAGATACATGCTACAAGATCTAACAGGAAGGAAACGCTTAAACATCCTTCACATTTTGTTTTCTTCAGCCGGGCACCCAGCCCCTGCTGCCAAACTTCATCAACTCTTCCCTTTCACCTTATCTGCTGTTCTTCCCCATTGTTCTGAACAGCGCTGATTTTGACCTTAAAATTACAAAGAAGCAAAACCCCCCATGCCTAATTACTCTAATTACTGTGGCCATCTCCATGCTGCTGGGTGCACACAAATGCATTATATAAATGGCATTTGCTGAGCTAATCTGCTAACACAATGCTTGTGCTTCTCCCCCTCCCCTATTTTTTTTTATTTAATGCTCTAGAGTAGGAGGAACATCGGTTACCATTTCACCCAATTCACATTTCCAATTTTCATTATCATTGTTCCATTTCTTCCCGACTTCAGCATTATGTGAACTAGACATGCAAGGAAAAAGGAAAAAACCTCACTGTGGCCTGAATGAAAATCGACGACTTGGAAACCTGAAATAAATACCTGAAATTACCTATTTTCGCTATCTACTCTGCAATGCCTTTAACTAAACACACACTGTGATTACGCTACTTGCAGCAGTTTCCAGGCCATTCACTGATCTTCGTTGTTTATCATCTCCTTTTTACTTAATCACAATATAGAAGCCTACAGAGCTAGTTTAAACCTCAGCCCGCTTGAAATGTACACAAAGTCCTGAAAAACAGGCTTAGCGATGGCATCATCAGGAAGCCTTTTACACAAAGCAGCGTTAATAGGTGCAATTAAAAATGAATGGCGTAGTTTTCCTCCCAACATTATCAAGAGGACAATGTTTTCTTTCATACACTTCAGTGCTTCTCTCTGACAAGTTTTGACATGACAGCTTGTTCAAACTCTAGTATGAACACACACACACTCTTTTAATTCAACAGTACCCAAAATTTTGTCTTAACAGTTCCATCATGCAAACCCCACTAGCAACCTGCCCATCTTAAACCAACCTGCTACCTCTGCAGCTTCATGGCAAAGTGGATTTCACTTCACCTCAAAGGCTTAAAGTGTACATCCTTCATTTACTCACAAAGGAAAAAACACAATACAGAACATAATGGGAACGTTTACGTTCAATAAAATATGGGTCGGTTAAAAATACTGTTGTAATATGACAACAGTTCACAACTGTTTTTAAATTAATTACAGCTTAAAAGTCAGTGTCATTAGCTTAAGGGTGCAGCTGCTTCACCAAAGACAATGGCTCTTTCATGTCACAGTTTCTAATTGATGCCTGCAAGTACCACACTCTCCCAGGCAGTATATGCTAAATAGAACTCTAGCCCACAGCTAGGCAGTATGCTTTAAAGGAAGGTATCATTTAGCTGAACAGGAAAAACTTTAGAACAGTGAAATCACCAACTTAGTCTTCACTGGCTAAATAAATAGCTTTTCAGAAAAAGGCAGCTGAGATTTGACTTCACTACTAGCATCATTTTACAGAATAAAATGCAGAGAAGCATACAAAAGTGCTATGCTGTGCTTCATTTATCCTGAAATTGCGAGCTGAAAAATTCTTCCTGCTCCAGACTAGCTAGTTCACAGCTTGAAATATTTCAAAGGTCATCATGAAAAGTGTCTTTAAGCCTTATTAATATATTCAAATCTTTCTTAGTACAGCTGCCTCAAAAGCTGGAAGTCAGAGCGGGGGAGGGAAGAAAACAAGTTCAGATGTGTCTACAGTAACAGAAGGTTAAAAAAGAAAAAGCTATTCAAACTTGAGGAAAGCAGATCCAGGAACTAAGCCATATAAAATCACAACTTACACTTCTGAAGTAGGTCTCTGTTTGTAATAGATGGAGCACGAGCTATCGCTGCTGAGGGGTCTGAGGACTGCACACAGGCATCGCATTTTGAGAGCGCTGTGGCACAGCTTGGCTCAGCAAGCCCTCAACAGTAGCTTTTAACTTCCTAGTGCTAAACTTCCCGGTCCAGCTCCTCTCCCGGGGACTGTTGCTTGGCGTATGACATCAGCCTGCACACTTGCAGGCTCAGGGATGCACCAAAGTGGGGGAGGCACAAAGAGTTTTCTGACTCAAGCTGATCTGTATTCTATGCTCCAGTTACTCGAAGTAATTGTGATGTTTCAGT